AGCAGCTGAATCAGGGAATAGTGGAAAACTGTTCCAACTGATTAGCAACACAGGAAGTCGGCAATTCCCAGTTAGTGAAACAAACTGTGACAAAAGTGGGCTTGACTGCTGGGAGGAATACTTTAATGAACAGTTCAGTTATCCAGGCGCTAACCAGACTATCTCGTCTGTTGTAGTTGTGGCTCCTTGAGCAGTGTTAAGTGAACCTCCTACTGCAACAAAACTACGATGTTGCATCCAAGCTCTGAAGAAAGGAAAGTATCAGAATCCGACGGTCTTCCTCCCACCCTTTTCAAGTTGGGGATCGATGACCTCTGAAATTCCATTAGTAATTCAATGCGTAACATCCGGTCGCAAGAGCACCTTCCATCACCCTGGAGCAAATCTGTGATCTTTCCAATTTTGAAAAGGAGATCTCGCAACGACTGTGAAAACCGCCGCGGGATAAATTCGATCTTAATCCGTCATACTTCGACGTTCGACTCCCTTAGAAGAAACAAACAGTCAGTTATTACTACCTTGATTTATCAGTGTGTTTTCCCCATCTTACTCTTCTCCAGTAATTTTACCTGACTTACTCAAGAAGGATTTTAAAGTCTTACGTCACGGTCTAAACATTATTAGTCGTGTCTCTTCTATTCCTGTGAATGAATCAGTTTTCAGAGCATCAAGTATCTTCCTGTGTGAAATTTGCTGAGAGGATTCTCACAGATCCTGACCACCCATTGTATACAGAACTGACACTTTGTCATTCCCATCATTCAACACGCTCCCAATTTCGTCAAATTTCACCTCGAATTAACACTTACCGCAACTCACCTGTGCCGTATCTTGTTCGTCTACTCATAACCAAAGAGCAAACAATAAGTGAACTTTGTCTTAACCTCAGATTATGAAATGTCCCCATGTCTGTAAGTTTTCATCCCCGTTGATTGTACACATTGTGCTGGTTAGCGTGTATGATTTTTTAACTGAAATGTGAGCTCGTGCTTGCAAAAGTTATACACAATACAATACTTTGTATGTATCATGAGTTTGGCAGCGATCGGTGAAGTTCGCTTCACTGTATTACGCCGTATGATGAGAGTGGCGCGAAATTTAACTTTGCAATTATCTCGTGACCTGTCGTGCCTATTTTTCTAAACAAAGATGGCTTCAGTGAGCTTGGGTTCATGCATGATCCTACTGATAACAATAGTTTTATGTGCATAACGACTGATTATGAAGTTGTCCCCTTGTTCGGTTACGTAAATAACTGTCCCGTTTTCTTCGAACTACATATGCTAACAGGATAGTCTATTGAAAAACGATGTAGGAAAGCTGAAACCTAAGTGTTTAAGAAATCTGTTGTGATAAGAAAATATGGAGAGATTAACCTTTAAATCAGATCGCACTGAAACGACGTTCTCATGTTCTCATGCGAGGGTAACGCATCAGATCTGTGGTACGTTTTTTATTGCAAACTTTCGTGTGATGAACAACAGACGAGGAAAGCCCCATAGCCCCGAGGCCTTGCGGTTCAGTGATGGAAACCGGTAACCTAAACCCCGGGACTTGGTGTGGTTGGGTGTGGAAGAGGACCGGACGACAGCAAAGCTGTCTACCACCACGTAGATGACATCGCAGTGCTGAGTGACGATTCCGATAAGTTGCACGCTTTTTACGGTCTAAGTGTCAGTGTACTTTTGCTAGTCTTGCGTTTAGCACCTTGAAAATGACAAATACTGTTACACCCATTCAGCGCCCATAGAAGAGAAAATAGATGAAGTAGACTGATTTGGCTCGTCGTATCTTCTCTTGGTGAACGAATCACGGCTGTGTAAATTGTGGCTGTCCAGCTGCTTTTACTGAACGGTACAGACATGCTTGCTACGGGAAAATCATAAACGCGGACCATGTCTGCCCGAGCCGCATCGCACGAACCTGGCGGGACGATCGAAAAGACAATGATGAGGTAAAAAGAGAAACCTAATGTGAAAATGTCGGTTACATTAAGATTCCCAATTACGGAACCCGTGGTCAAGCCAACCGACGATTTGGCACACTGCGTGTCACAAACAGAAGTGCGCAGACGTGGTTTCCTGCTTCAAGTTTTCTTCTAGTGCTCCTAGCTGCAAAGTATTTCGTCTGCTTTCTTCTATTTTGTTGACCAAACGGGTAGCGGGAAGACAGCAGCCAAAACTGCCGCACGAAAGAACAAGGTTAATGGTGGTTAAATTCAGCCAATGCCATCAATTTTGTAATAATCACGGATTATATTATATTGAAAATAAAGCCAGCTTTTTTGATAAATCATCAACGGATTATTTATAGTTATTCAAATAATGCCCATTTTCCATTAGCTTTGAGACGAAACCTCTAAAGTTGGATGTTAGAAGGTCCTTAGTCGGTCAGTATTTGAAATGTTTCGTCGCTACGTAGCTGTTGCGTTCGCCACACGCATTTTAATATTTGATAAGTACCTTTGGCAAATCATGCGCCAACCATAAAGTCGTGATTGTACAGTGGCGAAAGGCAAACTATTTGAGCCTAAGTACACGTCATAACACAATACACAGACTCGGGTAATATCGCTGGGATGCGATTGACAAATCTGAAAGACTCGTTTACATTCCCCGGATGATGGCGTTGGCCTAGTGCGTTATTCGATATCCACGTTGCTCAATGTCCTAGTAGACGGGAGTGATTTTCCCATCATTCTTTCCAGTGTTTCTTCGTTGTGACTAGGTAGACAGCTCTGAAACAGTAAGCAACTGAGTGGATGCACTCAAGGGAACAGTCTTTCAAACTGGAACGCATTGCTGGGGATGCTAAGTGCGACAGTGGTGAATGTTCGTCCTAATATTTGAGTAACCGTTACGTTTCAATAAAATACTCACACAGGGAATAATTTTTCTGTGTGGAAATGTGAAACGGTTCAAGAAACAATTCGTTCAATATTGTTTTACAGTGCCGGAGGAAAAACCGAAAATGACTTATGAAAACCGCGTTTACATCAATGCTTGTCAGTGGTCAGTCTACATAACAATTACTGGTTGATGCACTCAACTGCTTACCCAGTTACTTATTAATGACCTTTGGAAAAGAGAATCAACGCATACGTAGTGCACGATCTGGATCATGTAGACAGAAGGATAAGAAAAACTGATCTACATACGACCGGAAGATAATTATCAAATGATAGTGGCTATTTTGTCTGTTTCGTCAGGATTATAAGCAGTTGTCTATGTAGGGAATATGAATAATGTGCAAAAAAACTGTGGGAATCCTCAAATTAGGAAATGAGTCAGCTGCAATCTGCAGAGGACGCTTTTGGAAATGAGATGACAGAATCAGTGGAATATGATACGGTTGGCTTGATTCATAAATTGACATTTGAAGTGATCAGAATGAAAGGACAATACATGAGCCGAAAACGGAATAATATAGAGGTCTTTTGAAGAACGCTATGTTTTTGAATGTAGTGTAAAGCAGTTTTGTTAAACCTTGGTATCTTTATAGTGCGCATTTCGCAAAACAATGTTATAATTCACATCAATTTTTTATTAGCGAGAAGTGTCTCTAGGCGAGAAATAAGGCCCGAGGGAAAAAACCAACATGTGTGCAACAACCGTAGGATTTATCTAAACTAATTACTGACAATCAATGTAGTAATTGGTTACGTAATACGGTTCACAAAAGCATTTGGTATTCTCCTACACTCGTTGAGGACCCGAAAACTGAGAATCATCTCGATTTTTCGATTTGACCAAGTCCCGGAAATTAGCCTCTGTACTTAGAAGGGCATTTTTACAAGCAAGCAAAATTCAAGTCGCATAGGCAACTGGGAGTGAAATACTTGCAACCATTTGAATCGAAATAACAACTTGAGTCATATAAAACAACTTTTTAAACAACCAAGTCAGTTTTATGACCATTGGCAGATTTATTCAAGTACCGTTCTTTTTGGTGTTCCATTTTCTGTTTACTTTCTTATGGTAACCCATCTAGTCATCCGATCACTTGGAGATCGAGAAGCAACAAAAAGCTGTGAGCGCTAAAAATCCAAGATTTTATATTTGATATAAAAATGGAGCAACTAGATGACTGACCAAACTATTCACAGTTTAAGAACAAATTACATCACGCATTCCATTTTTCATCAGGTTGATGTGATGAGAAATAATGACTTGTTATCAAATGTGCGTAACTTTGAACATTTAGAATGTGGTCTACTGATACCACGGAAAACTTCGAAGAATTTCCATTAGTAGAGATCATTTTAAAAACTCGTTCAGGGATTAAGATGGATTACCATTCGGAAAAAGACATCAGTGTTTCATCACAAATATGGTCATGGAAACCTAGACAGGTAAGATTATACCCGATCCAATGAAACGGAGATCTTTGCTTGAACTCAAAGTGATGGTCATCCGTAAACAACGCGGCTGTATGTAAAAGTCATATTCTTGCGATGATCTAACAATTGTTTCTTTTCTCAAAATAAAACAGGAATTATTGAGAAAATACGAATACCAAGAACCAGTTTCTTGAGAGCTCAAACGTAACGATCCACTTAAACATTGAATCAATCGTCCAACACGTAATAGGTATATTGTAGAACAACCGCACAGTTGTATACCCACTTGTTTTCCGTTTTTAACAATTTCAGCCAAGAGCACGTACTGTCCGCTTATTGAACTCTTCGATACAGCACACTGCAAATCCGTTAAGGTCTGACACCAGAAACCAGTGGTGATCCGAAACATTGATTTTAACGAGTTGCGAAATAGCTACTCATGAGTAGTCTCAACATGAACCGCATATTGAAAGATTGCAACATAAACGCGGGCTATAGGCACTCGCGTTGATTATGATAAAAAATTACCTAATCCAGCCGGGACCCATTCGGATGCGTTTAAAAATTATTCACAGCAAAGCCAAAATCGATATTTCGCTGCTCAAATGAGCAAATAATTCATGATTTGTAGATACATAATAAAAATAAGAAGGAAGATTCACTACCATATACAGGCAGCCTGCACATCCAAATGATGAAATAATTCCCGTCCAAGTGCATACAAATAAGACGGTGCGTGACTACCGAGATTGGTCAAGAACAGATTCACAAATCCAGCAGGAATAATTTCCCAACGTAAATTCCAAACCAGTGGGCCAAGGCTGGGGTCACGTTGAGCCAAACCACTGGAAATCACAGTCGGATCATGCGGTGGTAAAATTTTTGCTGGACTGTCGAGCCAATCTAGAGCTGGGTTGCTCGGATCCGCCGTCGGTAGAATGCAACAGGGTGGAACCGAACGCGGAGGACTTTTGCATGACACCGGAGATATTTTGTACTGTGGAAGACACACGTATGTCTAAAATATAACACAGGGAATGGAAGGGAAAGGACGGAGATTAAAATAACACCGGGTATAAATTTCATGTAAGTAATGGACTCATCGACCAAGTTTTAAAGACAATTTATTACTTTCAGGTCTGAATTCGTACTTAGAACTGCATGTCTGTTTATTCTCCCTGGGAGTCTAGCAAACTACGTTACTGATATTTTGTTCATAAAAAACTGCTTTCGTGAAAACGATACTAACAGATAACAGAAGATATTACAACACGAGTACGGATGAATGAAATGTGAAAATGAAAAGGTACACGCGTATTACCACCGCAATCAGCTGATTGGTTTTCAATGGTCGACGGCCTATCTTCCGTCCACTGCAATTAAACACGTTCCATCAGATTCTTTTTTCGCAACTCATCATCATCGTACACCACGATACGGTGAAGCGAACGTCGCTGACCGTAATCAAGATCAGAATGCACACTAAACAGGTGAGAATGTATGTAAACTGACAGGGAATGAGACTAAGTGGAGGTAGGGGGTCAACATACAGAATGCTCAACCTAAATGTGCATGCATAGGTTTTCTAACATTCTGGTCTGATAAGAAATGACAAGAACGCTATTGCTGTCGGTTAGCCGCCATATCCTTTAGTGTCTCTCAACCAGCAAGTTACCAAGATTTTTGGAGACACTTGCTCTAATCTTATCTGGATTTGATGTGATAACGAATTCTTAACCAAATCATTACCAAATATTCGTCAGCCTACAAGCTCGCTGCGTACAACCCACGCTAAACCACGTAAAAAACAACGGTCGAAGGCCTCTAGAAGACGAATGTCCTTTAAGTGAATTTAAGGTTTATCAACCACAAAGTAGAACTGACCGCACCGTGGAGAAGTGTGCACAACCGTTAGATTTCAAGGAAACATTCCGTCGGTGCCGGTGTCTCAGCCCTGCATATGCTGCTCGTGTCGTAGAATGCGTGAGGTCACCCTCCTTAGCTTTGTTGCCGTCATTTGTCACCCAATCACCTAAGCAAGAGAAACAATTCTACATAACTAATCTTTGACGATCAAGCATCACAACTGGGGTAGACGAAAGCCAATCTTGTAGCATCAATTCGCACTTTAAAGGTGTAAAGTGGAATTAAAGAACTTGGGCGCTTGGCGCATACTCCACAAATTCCAACGGACAAATGAAGACACCAGCGTACCATCCATCACACAGCTTTCCTCCAGCTGCCCATTTAATGACAGCATTTAAGAGACCATTTAGTCCGTTCGCTAGCATTTTGTCGCCGACCAAACTGAATAAGAATGGTGAAATAGGGCATTTCTGACGAACACCGCTGCTAGTTTCGAATGATTTGCTTAGCTTACCGTAGACCATTGCGTTATCACAAGTATGCAAGCACAGTGATCTCAATTGGTTTACATACTTTAGTGGCATTTCTTTAAGAGTAGTGAATACACTAAAGCTTTACAATCAACAGAATTGAGGACCTTTTTAGATTTAAGGAACACTACGGCTGTTGGTCGACGAAATGCTGCGTGATTCGGGGTTGACGAAGTGAAAACTCGGTCGATGCCATCGCAAATTGGTCGGGGTCCCACTGGACGTTCGCGAATATTTGTCTCTTAATAATGTCAGCGGCAAAGTATCACAAAATTTAACACTTTCGTGATGATCGGGACTAAACTTATCCCCCAGCGGTTTGCGCAGCTGCTGTGTTATCCTTTCATAAAGATCGGAACGATCAACTATTGAAGGCATTATAAACGGATACGCTCTTGGGGATTGTATGCTGCGAGGTAAACTAGTAATCGAGCCAACGAGTGGCGTTGAAATTTAAGAGGGGTGGCTAAAGGTGAGTAAAATCCGAAGTAATAGCGATCAGAGATAGGCAGCCGCTCAACGAATGTGGAAGAATCATTGATATGGTGAATCAATTTGTGTTGAGCAGGTTCGAAAAGGGAGAAAATGGAATATCGCATAGATTGCTACAGTATTCAAGAGTGGAGGAATCTAAGTATTGTACAATATTTGTTTTGGGGTGAATAACCGCCTGCAATGGAGGAGACTGATCTTGAGCGCAGTACGAAAGAGATAAGCTAAAAGACCCAACTGAAAGTATAAGCTTGTGAAACTGAGAAAACTAAAATCAGCAATAAGTTGGGAAGAATATTGATTTTTGTGGAAGCTGGACATCAGTGGAGTTTTGTAACCATTTCAAAGAACGGCACGTTTGGAACCATCTATCACAACTAGGCGCGCTGATAAACCGAATCCGAAACTGCAGTGGTTTTTCGGAAGTTAGGAAAAATTAAAAAAAAATATTTTTTCGAGACTAGAGCCCCATTTTCGGCTGCGCCTATGGATTGACCGATTATTTTAAAGGAAAGTTTGGATACAGGATCGAGTTTATTAGAGGTGTGGTGTTCCAAAACTTTCTTGGTTTGACAAACATTGGCTATCTAGTCAGTTCCTGAGGAAACAGAAAACCGTGCAACAATCATCCGAGGCCTTCATCCTTTTAATCCAACAGTTGAAAAGGTCACCGAATCCCCAGGGGACAGAAAACCAAGGCACCCATAGGTTGGTTACTCGCCGCTAGATATTTCATTGAACATCATGATTAATCGCATAATGGAAATAGTCCCGTGTTGAAGAATAACCGTGCAGTGTTGACAAGCAAAAAAATTGGAGCGGTTAATAGATTAAAACTTCCATGGGAGAAACTTGACATCTGGCCAAGGAAAGCAAAGATGTCTATGAACAAAAACAAGGGAACAAGGCCGCACTTCACAGGCATCCCGAGAAAAAGAATAAATTTCGCAGGTGCATTGAGAAGCTGAGGTTTTATCCAGAGAATCGTTAAAGTAGAATACCTGAAGTACTTGAAAAAAATATCAAAATGATTATTTGACCACCTTCGTCAATCTAGTCGTAACCAGTCGAAGGTTTTCAGAGAGAATATCCTGAAACCTAGAAAGTAAACGTTCACTTTCATGTCGCCCCACTAAACAAGACTTAAACTAACTACATCAATAACAAGTTTGGTTCAACTTTAAAAATTGCACACCAGTCCCAGAATCGTTTGACCAGTACTTACACCTTAATACCTAAGGAGAATTAGCGGAACGGTTTATTTTTATACTAACATTAGGTTATTGCCAGTATCACTGTGCGAAACAGCCCAGGGTTTTTATCCTACGTTTTTATTATCATACATTGTAGTGCGATGTACAGTAAATGGAGTAAACTCCAGTCACGAGGACCTGCTGTTTAGTGGTGGAAACCGGTAACCTACGCCCCGGGACTCGGAGTGGCGAACCACATAAGACCCCATTAGGTTAGGCGTGATATTAAACCGGATGAAAGTAATTTTGCCTAGCACCCAAGTTGGGTGACGGTGGTAGGGTACGAACCTCAGACCATAGGATCCAAAGCACATCGACAGCGACTAAACCACTGCGCAACCAACATCACGTAAACTTCTGGATAGCAAAGAAAGCAGCACGTGGTAACTACAACTCACCGGTGTTGAAAAATGCTTTGCTGCTTGCAAAACGCTGTAAGTTCCTACAGGCGCTTTTAGCGTTCCATCTGGATAGACAGCGTCACAGCCTATAATAACCTGAACCAGTAAAATTTAAACACAAGTTATACCTTGTTGACACGTGACATCATTGCGAAGCAATGTGTATCAGGAACGAGAATCACGTTAATTCCTTCTTTTGTAAGGTCATCCGCCAGCTTATGACCCAAATTTTCAGGAAATCCTTCGCATACAATGACTTTGAATAGCCGTTTCTTTTCGGATGCTCTCTACAACCACACTGCTACAGCATTAAAAGAACATACTCTTAGGAACTGGTAAACCTGTCGTGAAAAGCCACAAGTAAGTATGGTTTCATCGGAATGGATGAAATTCAAAGACAAGTCTGATATATTCTCCGAGCACGATTTTATGTCGATGATCAGCTCATCTACGGCGCTCACAATGGGCTCCAAAATGTCAACCCTAGAGACAGTTTCGTAAGTCGTGTCGCCCGAAGCGAATAAGCGATTCTGAAGAAGATATCAGAACCTAAATGACTCTTACCGTTGTGTTTTCTTCGAAGTCAGCATTTGCACCTTGGTGAACTCTGCAAAGTTAATACCACTTGGAAAATGAATTACTTCAAGGCTTCTTCGCGCGCAATCTTTAAAATACGGAGTGCAATGTGAAGGTTAGGAGTGCTTTCATCGACTGCTTTAATAGACTTTCGTGTCTCTTCGTGCAGTAGTTTTATCAATTCGCTAGTAGACCAGGATGAAAAATTTCGGTGATTATTCTTACCGCAAATTCGACCAATTTCCATCGATTATTTTCGAGCGCAAGGAATCAAACGCTGAAAGAACAACCTGATAGGAGGGTTCCCTGAGTAAATCGGATTCATATTGGAAGTTATATTTGACTCACGAAAGTTGTGTGACTGGTGGCATTGAAACGTTTTGTGTAACGTGAACCTTATTAAACGAACAACAGTGTGAAGGTCAGGTCCAATGTCAGTCAGTCAGTCAGTCAGTTTGCACAGGACAGGAGATGGCCACGGCCAATCGAGC